AGCCTTTGCCAAAAGAGTCTTGCCAGTCCCTGGAAGACCAACCTTCAGGGCAAACAAACCTTATCTTACAGCAGTAACTTAGCTTAAATATCTAACCTTCAAGAATAGCACTGGCAAAGTGCTTTCTCAAGGAACACACATAAATAAAGTATAACAACAAAGCAGGTGACTTTGTTAAGTCAGACTGCAAGCCAATATTCACACAAACCGATGTTGCTTGAAAGAATATTTCCTAGTACAATATATTATCATCTTTCTAAAGCGGTCTAATATGGCAAATTTTTAAGATTAAGACTCTCTTATAACATTATACTTTGTACTTCGTATTATTTAAAACCTCAAAGCATATCTCACCAGTAAAACACCACGAGGAGGACGTGCTCCAAGCCGTACATACCTATCTGGGTTCCTTAGAAATTCCTATCCATTAAGCAGAAATAAATATATCATTTTCATATAAAACACAAACTGAAAATTTTAAACCTAAGGCCAAGACAGGTACCACAATTTCTTCTAATTCCTCCTTGGCCTCATCAACACCTGCCACATCCGCAAAAGTGATAGTTTCTCCTTGCTCGGTTACTTTTGTCCCACCAGAGCTCCCAGATTTACGATTTCTAAGCTGCCCCGGTGCATTCTGTACATATCAGAACCAGTAAATAAGCAGAAAAGGTGTGTTCCTAAATCCTAATAGAAAGAGCTTGTTGCAATGAAGGGGAAGAGGGAGGATAATTCCACACCTGTGAAAAGTTAACTGGGAATCGCTGGAGGAGTCCAGCTAGCACAGCAACATAGAACAAGGTTATCTGCAAAAAATAAATAAATAAAATAAATCAGAAGCATGCAAATGCAATTGTCTAACTTCAGACAACCCAACATACACATGTACTGGAACTAGAAAGTAGGGAAGGAGAAGACCGTTTATGTTATATGGAAAAGAAACGAAAACAAACTAGAAATGGGGAAACAAGAGAACACAATCTTCAACCAATCAAGGAACTGGGATATACAAGAAGTAAAACTAAGCTATAATAAATAAATGAGGAAATGTATTAGAAAAACTTCATATATATATATATATATATATATATATATATATATATATATAGAAAATGAACTCATGAACTTGCTAGCCAACTTAAATCCCAATTTCCCAAGATTTTTAACAAGCATCAAAACAACCATGACTCCATGAGAATGCGTACAGCAAAGAAACTCATCAATATAACTGAAAATAGGTCACGCTGACAGAAACGGTAGGGGAAAAAAAAGCCATACTACCACCGAAAGAAAGAACAGGTAACTTTTGAGCATCCTGACTCCATATGATTGAGCCTAAGACAATGGATGGTCAACAATCTACATAACCCTCCATAAAATAAATGTAAAATATTCTTGCAGTTTTCTATATACCTATCTAGTAATACCTAGCAAGAATGTGACTTCTAATACAATTTCTTGATTGATTACATGGAAAGAAAATCAAGGATTACCAGCTAAGTCAAACTTATAAAATTTTAAACCAAGCCGAGAAAATATATAAAATCAAGTATTACATCTTTCAGCAGAAAATTTATTCTATAGAAAAACATCTATACCAGTTTCAAAGGTCATATACTTCTTAACCCAATTGATGATCTCTCTTTCACACTTGAAGGTCGGTAATTTAGTACATTATTTCCGTTGCCATTTACATAAACATTAACCCAGCTTGTTTCCTTATCCTTCCATTTCTCTAAGAAGAATAAATCCTATTAGGTGCACTCGAGAGCATATACCCCAAGTGACATGACAAGAAATTTAGAGAGGGGGGGAAGAAGAGTATCTTCCTTGGGTTGTTGCCATATCATTTGCAAGCACCACTATGAGGTCCAAATTTTATTTCCTTACATAAATTAGCATGAAACACAACATAAAAATTGCAACTTGGAATGGACTTGCACATTGGGCAAGGGTAATACAGAGTAATCAGTTACACCAAATTAAGTGTTGAATCAAACATGTTTCATATCACAAACTTTACAATGAATAACAGATAGTTCAAGATGCCAACAGACTGCTTATATACATAGTTTTTGTTCTCAATTTCTAACGCAAAATGTATACTACTCAAAATTAGTTTGCACATTTATCATTAAGCATATGAATCAAACCCAATTCATCAACTTACCAATGCTGAATTCAAAAACCCGCCTGATCGCTTATCCGGTGAGCCAAATTCAACATGATTCTCAAGCATTTTCTCATAAGGGGTCTTTATATCAACAGGCCTAGTTGTAGTATATACAATCCTCTTCGTCGGCGCCACGCTCCTTAACAACGACTCCGAATCCTGCAAATTACTCCCACTGCCCCTCATTTCACCCTCCATAACACCACTTCCACCTTCATTCTTCAACTTAAACATTATATGAACTCCATCAACCTCAACCTTCTGAACCTGATTTCCATTAATCTTACTCAAGAACTCACTATAAGGTACACTTACAAATGTCGTCGGAGGCCTCGGTTCGGAACCCGGTAACGGAATCCCAGGCCTAAGAAGCCTCATAACAAACATCACAATCCCTAATTGCAAAAGCAAAACCCCAATTTCTTGAGCTTGAATCAATGGCTGCCACCGCCATTTTCCCCCAGAACCTTTAAACCAACTCTTACCCTCTTTCTCTCTCCTCGACGAAGAAGAAGAAGACGACGACGACGGTTGGGACGACGAGCTCGAATTCGACGCCCCTTTGCTCCCCTGTTTCCCGTCGTTTTTCTCCGACGAAGAAGAAGATGAATTGGGTGAAGTTGAATCAGTATCTTGCTCGCAAGAACTATTAGCTCGAATTCTGGTACTACCCTTCCACAAATTAGATGAATTGCAGAAATCCCTAGAAATTGAAACCCTAAATTGTCGATAAGAATTGTTGAATAATCGAGAATGTGTCGACGAATTCCGGATAAAATTGGTTAAAGAAACCCTAGAAGAAGATGGACAACAAAAGTAGCTTAATCCATGGCAATAATAACTGGGTTTATAGCAATGATTTGAGGTATGAATTAAAGGTCTATCTACAATTGCTGACATTTCTGAATAAATTATAGAACCCTAAAAATTTGGGAATTTGATGAAATCTTCAATTGTTTGAGGAATCATATGAAAACTTGGAGCTTTTAATTTTTTTTAATTCCAGAAAGATTACTTTCTTCTTCAATGGATGTTGCAAAGGTTGAAACTTTGGACTTTCGGAGAGACTTAAATTCTTCCAATAATGACCGTCCGATCCGATTTTTTTTGGGTTGGAGAGGATGTTTGGACCGTCAATTTCCTTTGTTGTTTAATCCACTTATCTAAGACAAAACACCTTAGTCCTTAGGTGAAGTAACGATCTAAAGATTACACTAGATCGAAACGGCTAAGCTTAAGACTTGAGACATGATAATAAAAAAGTTATGTTATGGACGGTAAGATAGATATGACAAATATAGAAAAATGATTCAAATTAGGGTTGTAATCGTGATATAAAGGGTAACCATTTGTGAAATATGCTACGACACAACATGATTTATGGCTACCAAACCTTGTTATGGACTTGATATGAAATATATGACTAATATGAATTGTCATTTTTAAACTACAATGCAACAATAATTAATGCGGATATCAAATGAATAAGCTACAAAACTTAGGGATAACATCTTAAGAATAAAGTAAGAAATCAATTAATCACAATTAAAATTTACTTCGTCATCCAAGACATTTAAATTTTTATTTTAAATTGTCAATCTTAATACTCTTTGTCACTTTATAGGAGGTAAATACTCCATAGGTAATATGGATATCCTTTAATTATCTATTCTATCTTCATTTTACGCACATATTCATTCAAATGCAATCTATGCACATCTCATTGATTGAATTTGTAGTAGTAGAACAAAACAATTGAATTTGTATAATTGTATTAGTGTGAAAAGGTTGATAATGCGGGGCCCATTTTTACATTTGATGGTTTCATGAAGGTTAACTGAAATTGCCAGCGTGTACCTTTAAATTATTTTGAGGTTGTGATTGCTTCATATAGTAATAGTTTTGGTGGACCATTTTCGAAGATTGCCCGAGTTGTGTCTTCATTTGCTACACGCCTACACTATCCTAGGCCATGTAATATAATTGTGGGGTGCAAAATTAGAAAAAAGTAAGTGCATTTAAGTTTTTAAATCGCAAAAATAAAATGATTGCCAGATTTCCTTAATACTATTGTTATTCTTAAATTTAATATCTATATAAGCTAACATCGATCAAATTAGATGTGCTAATATTGATCGAATTGGATTGAGCGACCAAATTTGATCATAAATTAAACTTTGTCGTGTACGTAAAGATATAACTAACGACATTTTTCATTTGAACTTCATAACTAAGTACATGTGGTGGTTGTGGTGCATGTGTTCCATGAGGGTAATCGCGTTGCTAACTGGTTTGCCAACCGTGGAGTGGCTCAATCAAATAACCTTCTTATTCTAGGTAGTGCTCCTAGGGAGCTTCGTAGGATTCTTAGCGAGGATGTACAAGGAGTGGCCTTACCACGATCTGTACCCCCTGATATCCGATTGTACGATACACTTGGGTGTATATAATAACCTCTCCAAACCCTTCCCTCGCACCTACTATTTTGCAAACCCGTTCAAATTAGGCAAAGCAATTAATTGACACTCCTAGTTCTCCCTTAATAAACCATATCAAAATCACAAATGATATGAATTTTAAAAAGCAAAAACAGAAGAGAAAAAAAGAAAAACAAAAAATTTCATAATATATTTGTCTACATCTATCTGAATGATTTATAATAGGGACATGCCATTCATATGGGCCATACGTCCATGCCCTGCCTATTTTATATCGCATAATCTCACCAATTATATCATTGTCTTAGGAAGAAACTCAATAATAGATATTGGACAAATATTCCACTCTGGAAAAAAAAAATTTAAAGATAATGCTACCTTAATTTATATCACAGAAATTCATTACTTTACTGTTTACCTTAATTTACCAATAAGGGCAATAACATACAATCACTCAATTATTCAATAATATTAACCCCTTCACTATCATTTAGATCACAAAAATAACCCTACAATTTACCTAGTCATTCATGCTCATATTAGTCTCACACTAAGACTCTAAAGTTACTCTTTCTAATATACTTAAGCTACTTAGATGGGAAATTTTGGGTTGATTTAGTGTTTATAGCCTTACAGGTAACACTAACGCGCTAAAGTGGCAAGAGAGATGCATACTCAAGCTAAGCTAACAAATAAGCATGCATTCAGAAGTAACCAGAGGAAGAGAGGGAGGAGAGTTTATGTGAAGCAATATCATTTCAAGCAACTGGAATTTTAGGTTCTCCAAGATTCACAAAGGCCTGTGCTCGAGCAAGGCGTGCTGTTGCAGCATGCCATGATACAAGGTGGTCCATGAACACATTTACATACTTCGCTTTATCATTCTGTTTGCAGAGAGGAAGAAAAATTAGCAACATGACAACTATAAGATAACCATTTTTGAAAACATGAAGCATGTTGGTCTCTTACCTTATAATCCAAGTAGTAAGCATGCTGCAACATAGCAGACATGGATGAACTTAGATTTCGTTCAATTTGAAAGAATCATATTCCTCCATCTCTAAATAATAGGCATATTTCTACTCTAAGATGCCCCAATATAATAGGCTACATTTTAAATTTTAGTAACTTGAAATTTCAACTTCTCACAAAATGTAGCCTATATATCACCTAGGGATGGAAGAAATAGTAGATATTATGCGAGAACATAAACAGAGATCAAGAGAGAAGCAAGAAGTACCTCCCACACATCCAAGCATAAGATGGGCTGCAGAAAAAAGAAATTTGAAGTGAGTCAAGTAAAATTATAGAGGCAAACTTTTCCATACAGAATCCAAAATGAAAGATCTTCAAGGAGGATATCTTACGATATCATCCCAGACAATAGGAGTGACTGCATTTGATGTCTTAACCACTGCAAGTTGCTTCTCCTTCTTCTTCACTATAAATCCATAGATGAGTAGACATATAAGCAACTAATGATTAAAGAACGAAAAAATACTACAATAGGCTTTTAAGTACATAAGGAATCTTAATCTTGAGTGCTCATGAATGATTATTCAAAGGGAGGTGACTAACTCCCAAGAAGTGCAGCAATAATATGTTAAGGGACTTACAAACCAGCCAAACCCAACCAGAACCAAAGAGTGTCATAGCTGCTTCTATAAATTTCTCTTTAAAGTTAGGAAAAGAACCAAAATCTTTTTCAATCTGCTGAAGTAGACCGAGTGTTGGAGACTCCCCACCTCCAGGTTGCATGGATTCCCAGAAAAAGTCATGATTCCAGACCTGCAAATGTTTACATTCATAAGACAAATTCCACAACTCAAAATATCTACATTATCTTCAAATTTAAGTTAAGAATCACACCTAGAATGAAATCTGACCTACAAAATACAGATTCAAGTCACAGAAAAACCTCTTAAAGGATAACCTATGCCGGTATTTAGCTGTTGAAATGGTTTTTCGAAATGTCAACCAATAAAATACCTAAGCAATACAAAGCAAACTTTTATTGTAATAGTGGAAGTAGGAATCCATGATGCAGGTACAAGTCCTGTAGGAAGACCATGCACATGAAATATTCAATCCATAGGTCCAGGAAATAGTTTGAATTTTTTTTAACATAAACATCACATGTACACCAGTATACCTTACAAATAGGCAAGACATAAACCTGGCCCTCAATACCTTAAATGAAATCATCTAGTTTAGGCAGAATTCAAAAACAATGAGAGACTACATCAATATCTAAACACACCTGTGCAGCATCATTGAATTCGGGTAAGGGGTTTCCATAATTGTACGTTACTTTCACAAGTTCATCCATAGTATAGCCATACAGTATATCACTCTTACTCAAATGTCTATTCAATGCATCCAGGTAACCTTTATGATGCTCTCCCCAATGTGACTCCAGAGTTTTTTGGCTCATATATGGTTCTAGTGCATCCTGCAGTTGATAAGGGATAAATAAGGAACTTAAAGAAGATATAAAGAAACTGATGAAACATTAACAGAAAATAATGAGGTATACAGAGAAAGAAAAGAGCATATATTATTTCCTTCTTTAAGATTATTTTAAAAAATTTCAAAACCTTAGTGTAGCAAAAAATTTACTAGTTACATCTTACAATGCCAACCTCACATGTAACATCATTCATGAACATAAAAAATTGTAAATTAATGATATTGACATATTGGCAACTCGAGTTTTTTTTTAAAAAAAAAATTTTAAAATCCACCAGAACTGGTATAGAAAAAGTAAGGGTTATAGGAGAAGGCATCAAGGCAAACTTGGCACATTGGAATATGAAGATTATTAATAGAATCTCTTGTAATGTACAATTACATGAATTCCTAATAGAAGTTGGTGAAGCAAGTTGGACTTAAGTTTATGTCTTCCTACTTCATTGCCACTTGCTAGAAGAGGCAAACATGATAAAAAGTTCATACATAGGAAGCAGATTCCAGAGGATAGCTTACAAGGTTATAAGGAGGCTTTTTAAGCCCATAATATGCAACAACACCAGACTTTCTTCTCAGTCCTTCATGCCTTCTTTTCTGCTGCAGGGAATCGCAACAATTACAAATGCAAAGATACATGTTAAAGTTAAAACAACTTCATAGGTATCATCTCTGTACAGAAAGCAGATATCAATTGCCAATTCGACAGTCAAAGAACGAAAAGAATAATTCAATACAGGCTGAAATCAAAACAATTTATCCATACAATGTCCGGTAACCAAATAATTTATCTTTAAATTAGACTGTCACGTTCATCGGAAAACCACTTCATTAGATATTAAAGCCACTTCTTGAGTTAAGCACAATATTCCCATCTTTGCTAGTACAAACTGATACCCACCAATATGCTTAACAACTTCTAATAAACACTTCATAGCAACATCAATTTCAACTAAAAGAAAGCGAGACTGAAGCATTTGTACACAATACTTAAATCAAAGGAAATGAAAACCAAACAAGCCAACAAAAGGATAATCAAAGTGCTTATTATATTTAATGGACTACACAAGTATACAGCACCAATACATGCCCAAATTTTGCATATGTTCGTCTAAATTGAAGTTTTCGTATCATAGTCTGTCAAGTATCCGACACAAGTACTTCAAGGTAAAACAAAGAGTACACTATTAACAAGTAACAACACCCAAATTCCAACAATGCTTAAATGCCCAGGAAAATGCAAGAAAAAACAAAATTCTCAAAATTGAATAATTAAGGATAAAATTCAACAACAAGAACAATTTAAAATAATAAAAACTAATGTAATTGTTACCTGATATGAAATATTAAGACATTTAATCCTGGAAGACAAGTCATTGGCATGAAGAAATGAGCAAACAGGCGTTATTGCAGTAAAACTCCCCATTTTTTTTAATTGAATTTTCAATTCCTGCGAGCTAAATTTGCATCCCTACTCAATATAAATCAACACCCAGAAAAAAAAATTAATCAAAACTTACCAATTACTTAAAAAAATTCAGCAAAACTAAGTGCAATTTTCTGGGTAAAGAAAGTATAAGAATGAAAAGATGAGCTTACCAGTTTTGGGGTTTAGGGCTTCAAATTTTAGGACAGGATTTTTTTTTTTAATTTTTTCCCAGCTTTTTTGGGATTTGGCGCCTGTGTAATTTCTAATTTCTTACTCGTATAAGAGGATATGTCCTAATAGGAAGGTCCATAGTGTTGTTTTGTACAGGCCCAACGTTACAACTACAAGTCTGCAACACAATAATTTGATTCAAAAATCAAAACTACTCGTAGTATTTAAGCTCGCCCGTGTTAACATAAATTATTACAGATTACTCTAAATTTTTTATACGACGTAATTTTTCTTAGTTATATCAACAATAATTTTTTAAAAGATGATACGTAAATGTGTAACATTATACTTTGTATAATTTATTGGATATTTACATAATTTTTTTTTAAGATTATGGCCTTATGGGTTTGATTTTACTGACTATATTTCTCATTTCAAAATGTAAGTGGTGACATAAAATGAAGACTAGTGAATTGTATATAAATATTTTCTTAGGAACATCTTTATTGTACAATATATCGATTAATGAACTTAATTTTGCTCAAATTAATTCAGGAAAATCTCGAATCCTAGAAATAGTCGTGCAACGGTCACAACCACAATCATTTGTGTGCAAGATTTTCTATCGTATCAATTATGTACTTGAGATAAAATAGGAAGAAACAATAAGTTGAAATAAGAAAAAAGGCCTAATTTGAAGGACCATGATAGGCTACGAACCAAACAATCCTAAGTTACTAAAAATGAATATCCATTGACCAAATCTTTTTCTCAAAGAAAGAGAGAAAAATTCCATTGCCAAAATTGTATGAACATCTTGTTTGATCACATAAATTCATTTCTCTGTTTTTACTTTGTAAGAATTCGATTTTTTCTCGTAAGATTTTGTAGACGTTTATAGCTTCATATACCTTTACAACCATGAAAAGTTTAAAGTTCGTCATTCAAGGGATGGGGATTGACATCAATAATGATGTAAAAATTTTAACAAAAGCATGGTTTCGATATTTGATGAAAACATGCTATCAATGGGCAAAAGAACATCTTATTGTTTCCGGTGTTCTAATATTCTTCTATCTTTTGTACATTTTCTACTCTTCCGTCTTTAACATTCTATTCTATTCCTTTCCATTGGTAATTTGCCTTGCGATTCTTCTTGGAGAATCGCGGTTTAATTTGGAAAAACATCAAAGCAGCCCAAAGAAAGATCACAATGTAGCCAACACAACGAGAAGTATATGTGATTTTACATCGATTGATGATGATAAAAATCGTCGTTCATACCTACAAACGACCCATATGATGAGTAGAAGAACATTTGGGAGAATTGACAAAAAAAACTCTAACAATAATAATGATGATAATCTTCCTAATATAATCCAAGAAAAAACACATATTATTTCTACTAGAGTTGCTACTCCTCCTAGTCGTTCTGACTCCACCGAATCATCACAAAGTGAAGAAGACACAGCACGCGATCAAGAAAAGAGCAAACATGTGGTAGAATGGACAGAATACGATGAGAAAAATCTTATGAATCTTGGTTCATCTGAGATAGAGAGGAACAAGAGACTCGAAAGCTTGATAGCGAAACGAAGGGCACGTAAAATGTTTAGTATGCAACCTAGGAGGCACAATTTTTACTCATTTGATCAACATGATCACTTAGACCAACAAGTTATGGGGTCTATTATTGTTTCTAAGGGAGACATTGAATTCGACTACAACGGTGATGACTACCATCAACCAGGGTCAGCACCTTCCGTGTTGCTCCCTACTCGAAATCCTTTTGATCTTCCTTACGATCCACACGAAGAGAAGCCTGTTCTTACAGGAGGTAGTTTTGATGAGGAGTTCTTTTTTGATGAACAACATAGAGATTTGTTGAAGGATCACTTTAATTTTTGTAATAATAACCGTGAGATAAGTAAAATGGATGAATATATTAAGGATGATCTTATTCTTCCTAGATTTTTTACTAAATCAAAGGTGGTATCCAACAACAACACAAGACTAACGCGATTTAAAAGGGAGTCTGGTAATGATTTATATATTAGGTTTTTCCTTTGGATTTTTGATTTTACTGGTTAAAAGGTCGTTGGGTGATTTTAATTTTATTTTCTTATCCATAGATGCAGAAGAACGACTTAATGAGATTATAGAAGAACTATCCATGCAAAAAGGTACTTTAAATTATTTCTATTTAATGTATTCCTTTATTATATGGGAATTAGAATTGGGCACAGTTTGGCAAGCGGGCTAAGCACATCTACGGCAAGCCTCGTGATACAATAGGGCATGCCAAAACAGGTCAATGTTGAGCTTGTGCGACAGTGCGAGGTTCATATATGACTCGACTCATGTGTTGTACCAACGGTGCCCTTAAATGATTTTAGCCATAAGACATATGTTAAAAATGATGAACATGCATCACCCTTAACTAAATTGTTAAATGGCCTACCTTTAGGCCATGTATGGTTCACAACAGGCTCATGCCAAGATTGCCAACTACCAATATGACAATATGAAGTAGTTCGCTTATGACCTAGCTTAGCCCATGCCAAGCTCTAATAAGAAATCTTCTTTCCAAATTGTTTTGGATTTTTCTTTTTTTAACAGTAAATTGTTTTGGATAACCTACTATATATACCATCTCCTTAAAATTTTTTTTTTTTTTTTTTTTTTCATTTGTAGAGAATGGTCATGCAAAAGATCAACGTGATGAAGAGTCACCTCATGAAGGTGAAGATATGTTCATTTACTTTTATGCCAAAAATATTGTTCCTTAGTATATTATATATACTCATAACTTACCTCTATTTTTTTTTCCATTTTATTGGAATAATCTTATAGTTCAGCCAAAGAGTAATGAAAATCATGATGAAGACCATCAAACTTTTGAAAACCCTTTTGCCATCTATAACGAGACTGTAGGCTCAAATTACTTTATAAGTATACCGAAAAGGAACAATAAAACAAAATTAGCAGTCACAAACAACGAAGAACATATCACATTTAACATGGAAACAGAGTCAATTTCTTCGTGTACAAGAGACAATCAGACTCAACCCACACAAGACCATGTCATATTATCAGACTACAAGGGACAAATCGACGAGGATGAGGAGAGTTCTACATCATCTTCTTCTTCTTCTTCATCATTATCATCATCATCTTCGGTTAATGAGAGGGCTCGTTTAGATGCAACAAAGAATGAGGCATTTAGAAATTCAGTAAGAAAGGTTCTAACTTGTTTAGCAGCATTTCCAAGGAACAATAATAACTTGTTACAACAAAGTAACCTACAAGATATCCTAGCATGCAACACTAATAGTCCTAGCAATATTATACCTAGTAAAATGCAAGAAAGATCATTTTACACCGAACCTCATCATCACAAGTCGAATTTCTCCATTGCATCCGATATGCAAGTCGAGGTCTCAGAAGGCGGATCCCCTCCAATGACAGCCAACGAGGCAAACTCACCAACGGATCAAGACTCGTATGATGGAGACGACAACAAGGACGTTAGTTCAATAGACGACGAAGACTTATGGGGTATATCACCTCATCCTACTAAAAGAGGGGAGTTTGGAATGAATTTTAAGCTAAAGGATACCTTAGAAGAAGAAGAAAAGGTTTATAATAGACCCTCAAACTTGTGTGACGTCGTTAATAATGTCCATAATAATGAAAATGATGATCCTTCTCCTACAATATCAATGTCAAGGGAGGAGGAAGAGGGAGGTAGTGATCAAGAAGCCAGAATTGGAGGGGTAGTTTTTTCATTATCCACAAGGTCGATATTGCCTAATGAGGGTAAGAAAAAACTTGTTGTAGATCTACAAAGTACTAATGGAGATATATTGGAGTCTAGTTCATCATCATCTTCTGAAGGTTTAACATCTCAAATGCTGGGTAAAGTAGATCATCTTGCTGAATATTTGGCTAACCTACCTCCTAGTGAATGTGGCTCTAATTTTTTAGAGGTATATATGCTTAACTTAACGTTACTCTCTTAATGTGGAAATTAAAATATATTTCCACTTGTTCTTCTCGTATTAAAAAATGTTTTTCACGTAAAATAAACAATTAATCACGTGAAAAAATAGTTGAGTCTGATAGATACATAGAGAATATTTTAATGATTAAGTAGTATATAATAAATACATCTTAGGTTTCAACCATCAGTCTTTACAATATTACTTTGTAGAATTTTATGTCACGATGATTTTCAAACATAATGCTAGAGTTACATATGTTATTGTGGATTAGTTAAGGTCGTTGTGAATTTGTGATGATATTGTAGGATGTGGAGCGATCATCTCATGTTCGAGAACGAAAAACGGAGGAGACATTCCATGATGAGATCAATCAAATATTTGAGTTTGATGAAAATAAAGAAGATTCTAAAGAAGGATCTCATAGAAGTGTTGAAGATAGTACTTCTACGACGAGCCAAATTGAAGTACCGAAAGAGAGAAGCGCAACGTCTAATGAATTTCATGCAAATGATCTCATCAACAAAGAGCATGTGGATCAAAATTCTTCAACTACTGAACAAAATGACTACTTTAGAAGAATAGAGGTACATTTATACTTACTTAAAAGGCGTATAACAAAAAAAAAAAAAATTAAACATGTTTGGTAGCCCGTCATAAATAATGGTAATTGGAATAAGTATTCAATTTTCTTTACAGGATGAAGGCGAACCTTTAGAAGAAAACGAGAATGAAGTGAATTCAAGGCCGGAGCTAAAGGAATCGATATCTGATTCTAATTCCACAACTTGTCAAGAAGATTTGTTGGATCAATTAAGATTGGAAGACAATATGAAAGTCACACCACTACATCAAGTCCAAGATCATGAACATAAAGATGAGTCATCACTTAGTAACCAAATTATTCATGTAAGTATTTCCGGCCCTTAGCAATCTCTAATGTACACCTGAGAGTACCTTACGTGTGTAATATTAACAATCGTAAGCTTTATGACATCATGTAGGATGCTGATGAGTCTACCTCCCAAGAGAAGGCAAACAAAGACCGTTATGGCATTGACTCAAATAGCACAAAAGGTACAAATTAATGAAGAGATGGATGCCTCAATTGGCTACAACAGTTGATGTTGATGAGGTGATTTCTGAGCATAATTGTAGAAATTAATCTAAAAGAAAAGGTTAAACTTAATTGTTGTTGGACTGGTAAAAATTTTAGTTAGAAAATAGAATTGAAACCCAAAGTACAGCCTAAGTTCTCAATAAGCACCGTACTAATTCAATGTTTAGCTAGGCAATGCAACTACGTACTTATACGTTATTTAGTCAATTGTTCTAGGAAGAGCATGATCACTTGTCATGTGTGATCAAGAGTCAATGTAGTAGTAGTAGAGTAAACAATTAAGATAGAGTAGAAAGTACCCAATTTTGTTCATGTAACGAAATTTCCTTAGAGCTGAGAGGGATCATGTTGATAAATTATACGCGTACAAGTAATTTTTTTATTTTTCCTTGTATGGAAGTGATAGGATGGTATAATATACATTTGTCCGTGTATTGCGATCACTTTATTCACTCTTTAAGAGTTATATACATGTATGAACGATATGATGAGTATAGTAAGAGGGAATACGACCAATAAGTGTGATAAGAAAACTCAAAACAAAAAAAAGTTTATAGTAAGAGGGAATACCACCAATACGTGTGATAAAAAATCTGAGGCTACCATATGCTTGAAGAACAAAATTTTCAACACCATAGATTGTGTTTTTGTTATAAAATCTAAATATATTCATTTGAAATGAATTTTATTTGATTATGCTTTGGAAATTAGTATAGGATTTAAACAGTTGAGATGAGTATCAGAACCTTTTGTCTTGAGCCCAAAAATTTTGCCTTCATAAAGATGATGCAATTTATGAAACTAAAGATCTAACAAAACAATTCCCTATACAATAATGCCCCTACTTTTTGGCTAGATGATTTAATTAAAATAAAATTGATCAACATAAAATTTTAATTGGCCAATTTAATTGGCAAAACTAATTATGGCTCGGAACGCGGAGACTCACAATTGATTGCTTGATTTGAAGGAGTTACAAATTCAAAAAAACAATAAAATTAAATCATGTACTACGTATTTACATCAAAGTCCAATCTTCCAACCAATAACAAATCACAAATAATCTTAAAATTTGCATAATTCAAAAACAAAATTATTTTTGCAAAATACTTTTATTTTTGTCAACATATCTTTACTCACTTTACCTCCATTGTCCTTTAGAGATTAGAATAGCGTAACAAGAAATCAACCAAACCCGATTTAATTTTAATTTTTTTTAGAAGATCTGTACATTAAACTTGTCATATAAAAATTAGTTAACAGATAAACTAATTTTTAATACGAGTATATATTATAAATAAATCAAATTGATACAACACTAAACACGAATATATATTAAAAAAAAAAAAGCACGAATATATATGACTGGTACACCATATTAGACATGACTAGCGTCTAGCAATCATGTAGGGAAACTAAAAATACTTGTTATGTTCTGATGTAACTTGAGCAAAAAAAACGTAGAGAACTAGGGAAGTGGAGTAGTTGTCATTAAGTAGTCACTTTATCTCTAATTTAATATAATTCGTGAATTAAGAAAAACATTAAATTCCCAAAGCATTAGACCCCTCTAGACCCAATTACAAAACGCATGTCAATCCCCCTATAAAAATAAAATGCATGCATGTAAATCAAAACAACAAAAACCAATTTCAATTGATCCAAAACAAAAAAAAAATCCAACATAAAATCTTTGTTCTTAGAATGTAATCTTACGTTACAAAATAAAATCGAAGTGTTTTTTATTAGTAGTGTCTCTCCTTCGTTCTAAATGGAAGAACATCAACACCACGACGATCACCACGACGACGATCGCGACGAGGCGGAGAAGAGATCAGGAGTAGGGGGGTCAAGATGGAATCCAACAAAGGAGCAAATTGAGATGTTAGAGAAGGTTTATAGCGTTGAGGGTATACGAACACCTACTGCAGAGCAGATACAGGAGATTACTGCTCGTCTTAGAGTGTACGGTCATATTGAAGGCAAGAATGTTTTTTACTGGTTTCAAAATCATAAGGCTCGCCAACGTCAGAAGCAAAGGCATGAACGCTGTTTACTAACCACTGCTGCCGCGAGTTCCTCTGCTAATCAAATTCATCTTTCGCCTCATCAGCACTGTCATTATCCTGGGATTATTAATCATAATTTTCAACCTCGGCCTGTTTTTGCTACTCCTCATCATCATCATCATCATCCTGCTAATTACTCTCATCAGTATCTTCCTAATCCTAATGGTATGCATCTTTATTTTGTTACCTTTTTATTTATTTTTTGCTTCGTACTTTAGTGTTTTCAATTCAAATTTTCCTAATTTCTGTACGTGACCATGTATAAGTTACTGTAACAAATTAACAATATAACCCTACCCCCAAAAAAAAACAATATAAGCTTAAAACAAATTTTTACTTGTTGACAAATTGACCTTGGTCTATATATACTACTCCGTATCTATATATAGTTGTGTATGCATGTCGCGTGTATGTTGGTCTAGTACATTAATTTTACGAGTAATGACCAACTTAATGACATAATCACTGCAGTGTTAATTGACTAATGAAATATCCATCTAAAGTTTCTAATAATCATTGTGGTAATTGACTAATGACATATCGATCTTGTGCTAGTTACATATGTGTCTAGAGAACTAATATAATAAAAACGCGAGTATAATATTAGATCATACCATGCATTTGAATTTATTATGGTAATTAGTTTATTATTTGAAGTCTAAAAGTTTGATTAACTAGTTACTCATCAAATTGGTAGCTGATATTGGACATGGTGCACTTATGATTATAATTGTTATTATTATTGACAGTAATATGCAGCCCATATTACCATTTGCCACAACCAAGCCTTGGGTTTTATAATGCTCAACAACATCACTACAATGCACCTGCATCAGCTGATCATCATCATCATCATCAGGGCATGATGAAGACGAGATCGTCGAGATCGATGGATAATCAAGGTGTTTCGATGGAGAAGACCACACTGAATCTTTTCCCTGTACACCCAACTGGAATACTGGATCACAAGCTAGGTGGAGAAAGTAGTACTAGTACTAGTAGCTAGATAATCGATCTCTTTATTAACTATAACAATGTTATCTAACTTGATTTTAATTTTATGGGGGTATACGGTATAAATGGTATTGGTATACTTAATTAGTTCAAAGGCTTGTACGTTTTTTGTAACAAGGATAATATATCCTTTTTTAATAAGATGGTTTTTCAATGTCTTTTTTTTTTTTTTTTTTTTTTTTTTTTTTTTTTTTTTTTTTTTATGATCACTTGTAAACAATAACATAATGCTTGCTTGTTGTTTGCTTGATGATATGATGATAATTTGACAAATGCAATCAAGCAAAATCACTAAATCATCCACAAGTTAGTGACGTTCATGCTTTATCTATTTGTAAATTGTGTACTCAGTTGATGAGCTGAGTTTCACACTTAACCACCCCCACCCAACCACTCCTCCCTCTTAATTGTTGGTTATCTAATTTTTTAAGAAATGGATCATTCCTCGGTCTGATTAGTTAAAGATGGTATTAGATCGTGCTTAAATTACATTTTACTCTATAATGACATGATGGCACTGTGTTGTACAATAACAATTATCATACTACCTTCATTCGCTTTTAGTTGTAATATTGGGCTATTATTTATGAGATACAAAATATTATAAAGTTGCAACTAAAAGTTAACGAAAATAGTACATTTTTACACTTCATCTTACATTAGTTATTTTTTTTACATATGCCCACTTTACACGTATTTGTAGTAAGCGAATCAAATAAATAAATAGGTTTTTTTTTTTTTAAAAAAAAAACAAGGAATAAATTCAGATTCCCACCCAAGTCGGTGGTAGCTAGGTTCAAAGTTGTGGTTCATGTTTTGGTTCAAAGTCGATTGGGCTCACCATAACGTTTTGTTGTAGTTTTTTCCCCCCTCATATAGGCTCATCCCTGACTCCCTGTCAATCTATAAAGAGTGACATTTAGAGTCATGTACCTTACTTTAAAAAAAAAAAAAAAAAAAAAAAAAAAAAAAACATTTAACAATTTTATTTCATCTTAAAATAAACTTCTGAATTTCACAAAATTTTTTGTGGCTGTCTACACCCAACCATCATGGGTAGGGGTGCTGATCAAGTTGGGCAACTCGAACTCAACTCGCCAACTCGGTCAAAACTCGGCTCGAATCGGCTCGACTCGACTCGAGATGTTCACGAGCACGAGTTGACCATGTTCTAACTCAACTCGATAAGCTTGTGAGCAAACTCGATAATATATTTAATTTATATAGAATTGACAAACAAAGTTATTATCAATGAATAAATTTGACACTTAATAAGAGTTAATTTATATTATAAAAAAAGAAAGAGTATAGTTTTAATAATAAATAAAACAATTAAAAGAAAGTTATATAAAGTGAGCAAAAGCAATAAAGATTTATAATTTTAGAAGGGCAAAGATAAATAAAACAATTAAAAGAAAGCTATAGAAACAATTAAAAGAAAGCTATATAAAGTGAGCATAAGCAATAAAGATTTTTAATTTTATAATTCAACTCAAAATTTTAGCGAGCACGAGTTGAACACATGAAAAAAAAATTCGAGTCGAATCGAGCACCCCTTAGCTTGTGATCGACTCGCTCGATTAGCACCCCTAATTATGGGATTTACTTTGATAGTGTTTAATGTTACAGGGTTTAAATTATCACTAGAGCCTAATCATTGAGTATTATGTGCGGGGTAACCCAGTCAATGTTATAAAGATTGTTTTCTTTTATTATAGGTTATCACATGGTGTGACAAGACATACACAGAACACAATATTTTTTATTTTTTTTTAACAACAAAATGCAATAATTTTTATTTTATTTTTAAATATATTTTTTTTGAGGGAACAACAAAACGCAATATTTGAGTTTTGATAATTTTTAATCTTGAAAAAAAATCAATCAATTAATAAACAAAATAAATTAAGAGAAAACCGACATTGTACGAAGTACCGATTTATTCCCGCCATATTTGTAAAACTGACAGTTTCTCCTGAGAAAAGAAAAAAAAAAATCTGGTACTCACAACAATCATCCAGAATTCTTCACTTACTCCGCTCATCATCTTCAAGTCAACCCTCTTTCTCTCTCCTCTAAATCACTCAATCGAATTGGAAGAAGCCATGGAAGAAACCTTCATTTACAGAAACCCTAACGCAGCCATTGAAGACCGAATCAAAGACCTTCTTTCTCGCATGACTCTGCAAGAGAAGCTCGCTCAAATGACTCAAATCGAACGAACCGTCGCTTCTCCTTCCGCCATCAAAGACTTCGCCATTGGTTTATTCCTTAATTTTCAATTTTCTCTCTCCTAGGGTTTCTGTTTTGCTCGTTTTCACTGTTTTCATGATTGCTTTGATTTTGATATTGATTTTGATTATTTTTGCAGGTAGTATACTGAATGCCGGAGGAAGTGCGCCTTGTGAGAAGGCGGTGTCGTCTGATTGGGCGGATATGATTGATGTTTGGGTCCAATTTAGTCCAATTGGGCCTAGGCATTAAATGATCCAATTAAAAGCCCAAGGTCAAGGTTCATCCCTCCAATTGTGCTAAAGTCAAAGATCAGTCCTCAAGGCAAGCCAATTGGGCTAAGACCCAACTTCTCCATGTATGCAAAGGTATAAAAGCCATCAATATTACATTTGTACATTCAAACAAAGCCTGAAGCAATTAATTCTCTTGCATAGTGTTCTCTTTCTACACACTGTACTGACTTTAGCATCGGAGGGGCCTTCCTCGGCAACACCCTCGAGGCTAGTTTATGTGTGTTTACTGTGCAGGAAACCTTCGACCCAACATTACTTGGATCGAATCTAGTCTTCTCCACTTCATCGGACCTTCGACAAGGTCCCATTGTTTTCACCCGAAACAATTGATAATTTTCAGAAATTGGCATTGGAATCGCGGTTAGGGATTCCGATTATTTATGGTCTTGATGCTGTTCATGGTAATAATAATGTTTATGGTGCTACAATTTTTCCTCACAATGTTAATCTTGGTGCTACTAGGTTAGTTGATTGCTACTTTTTGAAAATTGGTGTTTCTAAATTTGTTGTTTGAGATGTGCAAATGAGTGAAAAAATGGGGAATTTGGTGCAGGGATGCTGATTTGGCTCATAGAATTGGGGCTGCAACTGCTTTGGAGGTTAGAGCTAGTGGAGCTCATTATGCGTTTGCTCCTTGCGTAGCTGTAAGTACTTAACAGAATTGCGCGAATACTTGATTGGACGGGATTGAAATTATTAGGCATTCTAAATTACCAACAGATGATGTAATGACCAATGAATGTATTGAGATTGAGCTTGTAGGCTATTCTTGTGGCAAACTGGTTTTGTAGCCATTGTGAAGTATTTAGGGTAAATATATCGGATAATGAAGAATTATACGGTGTAGTGCTATGCAAATGTTCTCGTAGTTTGTAATATATAATTCATAAGTTTGACATGCTGGTGTTCAAATTAACCAAAATTCTTCCATTGGGGCAGCAACTGTTTATCAGTAACCTCTTCACCCTAAAGATTAAAGAGTGATAAGTTGCACTCATGCAAATGTTCTCGTAGTATTTAAGTGGATAATTTTGGAGAAAGTGAAAATCTGATTAATATTCATTGCCAAAATGTTATGAGTGTTACAGTGGGGATACCGAAATTGTTAAAAAGTTGATTTTATTTGTGGCTGCTTTTGTACTTTGTTGCTTTTTACAAAATCTGAAGCTGTTCTTTTAAAGGTCTGCAGAGATCCAAGATGGGGGAGATGCTATGAGTGTTACAGTGAGGATACTGAAATTGTAAGGAAGATGACTTCCATTGTATCAGGGTTACAGGGGGATCCACCTGAGGGACACCCAAATGGCTACCCATTTCTAAAAGGAAGGTGGGGGAAAAAGTCAACTTTTTAACAAGTCCTCATATAATGTTAACCCAGTTTATAGTAATTTAGATTAATGTAAATCACTTTCTTATGGATCAATCATATACGTTTCTAAAACTCAATGATTGTAATTTTTTTTTTTTAATTTCTATCTTCCTTTTTACCGTGTGTCTGGTTCCAGAAATAATGTTATTGCTTGCGCTAAGCACTTCGTTGGTGATGGAGGAACACATAAAGGTATAAATGAGGGGAATACGATCTCTTCGTATGAAGATTTAGAGAGGATTCATATGGCACCCTATCTGGATTATATCTCTCAGGGAGTTTGCACTATCATGGCTTCCTATTCTAGCTGGAATGGTAGACAGCTACATGCTGATCGTTTTCTTTTCACAGAGATCCTTAAAGACAAGCTGGGATTTAAGGTATATTTTCATATTTGCATTGATTTATGTTGGCCTATTAAGAAAATACTTAACCATGGATATTGGATATTCATTTTTTCTGAAGTCCACCATATCTCCTTCTATCCCTTTAGTCAAACTATCAAGAAGTTGCTACCATATTATTACCACTATGAGTTTTGCTTACTCACTTTCATTATCCCCAATGTATGTGAAAATGACCAATCCTGTTTTTTCTTTCATCAGAATTGATTTGGAATCGTTTGCATATGTTTCACCTGAGAATCGATGTTCATGTCCTGGTTTATATTTCCGCTGCAGGGATTTGTAATTTCAGATTGGGAAGGCATTGATAGACTTTGTAAACCTCAAGGTTCAGACTTTCGTTTCTGCATTTTAGCTGCTGTTAAGGCAGGAGTTGACATGGTAAGGAGTTACAAAACACAAAATTGTAGATCTTGGGTTTTTTAAAATGTATCTTCCAACCACAAAGTGTATATGCAGGTAATGGTACCTTTTAAGTACGAAAAGTATCTAGAGGACTTGACCTATCTTGTGGAATCGAAAGAGATACCATTGTCTAGGATTGATGATGCTGTTGAACGGATCCTGAGGGTAAAATTTGTCGCAGGGCTTTTTGAGCACCCTTACACTGACCGGTCTCTGCTAGATACAGTTGGATGCAAGGTTGTATTTTTATTAACTCTTTTTTCTAGTATGTCTTTTATTATATGTAGTCTGAACATACCTTAATGTTGTTTTCACTAGGTTGCATTTTCTGATATGTTATTCCCCTGAAGACTTTCCTTTTGTCTCTTTTGCTAATTTTGAAGATTTAGATTGTATACCTATTAAATTTGTGCATATCTATCCTGTTCCTACCGTTTCTGCAGGTTGCAGAAACTCTTATAGGCTGTATTAGATGTCTCTCCTTTTCTAATTCTTCCTCCAAATTCTTACCCTTTTTGATGATGCAGAAATTTAAATTGGTAAATTTCACTGGTGAAACAGTGCTTTGCCATCTTCTGAACTATTTTTTTTAATACATTTTTGAGGAGGATCTCATAGCTCTCTGCAGTGCTGTCCTGGGTTTGTGATAGCCTGACAGGTGTCACTGGGCGTGGGAAATATCCCAAAGAGGTCTAGTTATATGGAAAGCATGATCCCGTAGTTGGTTGGAGGGCTATGGCCATGTGGTGTTCTTGCTTTCCCTGTAAGATGGTGCTAACTCTATCATACTAAGCATCCAAACTAACCTACTTATTTTGTTTCATAATAATAGTACTTAAAAGACTAGGCATTGGTGAAGAGAGTATTTGTATGTTTCTTATGTTTTGTCTGTCAATTAATGGTCTCTACTCCCCTCACAGTACTTTCTGTATTTCCTGGCTTCCTGGACTACTATTTTAAACTTTATTTCGGATGTTACCTTAAGTCTTAAGACCTTACTTACAAGTTGCAACCCCATAACAAGAAGAGTGTTATTGTTTTATATAAGAATCCGTCCCCATTCTGAAACCTTTGCTTATAGTTACCTGCTGGCATAGATATTGAACTAATCGCTTTGTTTTGTTTTAGTTGCATCGCGATCTAGCACGTGAAGCAGTACGGAAGTCTTTAGTGCTCCTGAAGAATGGGAAAGACCCTAGATTCCTTCCATTGGACAGGAATGCCAAAAAAATACTTGTTGCTGGAACACATGCTGACAATCTTGGATACCAATGTGGTGGGTGGACTATAACTTGGGATGGACTTGGTGGAAGAATTACAGTTGGTATGTATTTCTTGGGCAGTATGTTGCCCTGCGTCTTCTGTACCTGTGTTGCCACTCATGTTAGCTTATTAGATGCCTGCTTTGTTCTGTTGTTTATTTTCCCAGCGTTTAATTTGTACTGTTTGCATGTATAAAATTTCATGGTATTGTCCACTTGATATTATTGGATGTTAATATTGGTATCTCTTAACTGTATGATTTATGAAGCATTAATTCCAGAGATAAGGCTGATATTGTGGTACATCATTTATATTACAGGCACTACCATTTTGGACGCAATTAAAGAAGTCGTTGGGGATAACACTCAAGTTATTTTTGAAGAATTTCCATCACATGAAACCTTAGCAAGGGAAGATATTGATTTTGCCATAGTAGCTGCTGGTGAAGCTCCATATGCAGAATTCACAGGGGACAATTCGGTGCTTAATATTCCTTTGAATGGAGCAGATGTGATTAGTGCAGTTGCAGACAGAATTCCTACTCTTGTCATTCTGGTTTCTGGAAGGCCTTTAGTTTTAGAGCCATGGCTTTTGGACAAGATGGATGCTTTGGTTGCTGCTTTCTTGCCTGGAAGTGAAGGAGAAGGAGTAACTGATGTTCTTTTCGGAGATTTTGAATTTGAGGGTCTACTCCCAGTGACATGGTTTAAAAGTGTTAATCAACTTCCAATGACTGCTGGACAGAATTCATATGATCCTCTGTTCCCATTGGGCTATGGATTGAAAACCAACAAAGAAAAGCATGTAATTTCGTGATTCTGAGTATCAAGAATCACTGCAGGTGTTGTACTTTTGGATAAACAAGAAAGTATTTTGTGAACTAATAAGAGCTTTTGTTACTGGTTAATAATTTGTGTATTCTCCTTTGAATTTAACTCATTTTCTGGTCCGAAGCAGCACGATTTTGAAGTTGATTCTTTCTCGTCCATCAGTTTAAGCTCACAATTATTGTCTATGATTGTATGATGTATTGGCCAGTTAGAATGTGATCTGAATTGTCATTTTCCAGATTCAATCTGTCACAGAAAAAGGCTCATGAAGCCTATCATTGTTTGGTGCTCGACTAAAGTGGGCTTTCATCTTCTAAACAGTTTTGGTACGTCCTTTTCTCTGTCCTTTAGCTGTCTAAATGATGCCTTCATCATATTGTTTTGTATGTGAAGTCTATTCCCTCTTTCACATGTGTGATTTGTGAATATGGTGTGATGAAGTTTTTCATCTATGACATGGAGGACAATGAAACTAGTCCTTTGGCTTTTGTGTTCCTAGTTTAAGGAATTTTTTGTCTTGCAAATTGTGTCTAAATTATGTTTCTCTCATCAGTTTGTTGAGATAACTCGCACAGTAACTGCTAGTCTAAACTTCTGATTTTGTGCAAAATGTTGGTGAGCATGGTTTGAAATTACTTGTGAAATGAAGTCTTTTAACTTTTATTTGTACAAGTTGAGAAAAGAAGACTTGTATGAAGATAATGTGAGTTTTTTTACTATGCTTGAGTTGTATGCTCTGTGAATAGAACTGTTATCACGTATAGCACAGACCTGAGGTAGGCTTATGTGACTTCCCTCCCTCCTTAAGTTTGACAATGAAATCTGATATTGAAATTTTAGCTAGCCTTTTTTTTTTTTTTTTTTTTATCCTGGCCATTTTTTTTATTTTTTTTTTTTTTTTTTTACGTACTATATAACTATATTGCCCACCTACAGTAAGTGGGTTGCAATTTCTAAATTTGAAAGACAGCCTCCTTTAGGCCTCAACCATGTTAATCATTCTATATTTACTCTTGCACAATTCACATTTTTTGCTTTGACTCTATTTTTCTAATAATATATAAAATCAAATGTACTAATATTATGGGTTTGTCATTGTCTCATGTGTATTTTATATAATATTATAATATTAATTTTAAGTAACTAATACTTAGAAATATTTAGAGACTTCAATGATCAAAGTTGTACTTTAAGCAAATGTTAAAGTCAAAAGTGGAACCATTAAAAAAAACTGAGGGATTATTACTCTTAGCAAGCTAGTAAGAATGTAAGACATAAAAATTTCTTGGAAACAACCTTTATATTGGATATTTGTTGATTGAAGAGAAGAGTTAAATTTCGGTCTCATCATCGGATTGTAACAAATGCTTTTCTAGGTTATCATGTAAAGTGACAGCTGCTTGCGGAAGTGGTTCTACAACTGTTACATAAACACTGGTTAGAGGTTAGTCTGCATAAATTTGACTTTTACCATTTCTGCATCTAGGTGATAAATTCTGGATTGTTGTTTGAGGTAAGACAGACATTTGATTGCAGGTAAAAAGAATTATCAACTACTTTATATTCTTTGTTTAAGGGTGAGCAACTGACTTGTTAATAATGACTCATAAAGTTGGATTCTTGATAATTTTTTATTTTGCTGAAACCCACTCGTGTAATTAGCTTAAACTACATTATTAGTGAACAATAGTGGCAATTACATCATGGATGAATGCATGATCACGATAATAAAGAACCCTGTGTACGTAAAGCATAAAGCATTTTTCTTTGTCTCCCTTAACATAGTCAATATTTGAGCCCTAGAGTTGAGAGATGAGCCAATGACTGCTTTTGTTTTTGCTGTAAACAGGGTGTGCCGTACAGATTGCAAGAGATCGTATTTTTTTCCATGAATAATAAACTATGAAAAAGTAGTGAGTGACGTGGTAGTGGATTTGGATTTAGGGACTCCTAATACAGTAGGTGTTAGTAGAAAAGATTCCTTAGGAAATGGGAGATGTCAAATCTTATTATTTTGTCGGTGTATTCTGATCGTTTCATCCATAAAAAAACATAATATCTCTATTTTTATTTTATGCTATGAGTAGGTTGTTTAATCCATCCCGGGGGACGGATCACGGCTTTTATTCTCAAATCAGTCATATGTTAAGACAGTAAGACTGACTCTCTGTTACATAGATGTGATTTTAGTTTGGCTTCCTGTGAACTGATGCTACAGGTTAGATTTTATATGCTGGAGAGGTTTTGGGTAACCTTTTTTTTTTTTCACTTAGGTATGCTATCTTTGGTTTGGGTTTCTATGATTATTTGAATTAAATAGTTAAAAAGTGTGCAAAAGAAGAGGAAAAATGAAAAGTAATCAGCTGGAATCTCATTGAGTGCGCTGTGACAAAGCCAACCTCTCTCAAGTATCCAATGCCATGGTCCATTTCTTTCCTTTGAGCTCAATGTCTTTTCGCATTAATCTTGTGGATGTATATAGCTATTTAGTTTGAGGCTTACAGTTTGCTGAAGGTGAAGGGGCATTTGCACCGAGACACCGAGAATGGACGTGGATGCCGATATGGATATGATATAGACATGGGAAAATGGTAATTTGGAAAAATACTAATTATTTCTGAACGTAGTGGATACAGGACACATCACATTAGAGAGGTGCTTGTGCAATGTTCATGCATGACAATGCTTGTGCAGATATATTCAAATGAATTGTTGCTTGATGAAGTGTTGGAACTTGGAACATAACATATTAATAGCTGAATTGTCATTGAAGTTATACATGATGTTTCGTCAGTGTTCTCAGCATGCCATTAATTAGCATTACACATTTACACCTAGAACTTTAAGCTTTATCTTCGCAGAATTTATTAATGGAAACTTTTCAGTGTGGCTCAACATGGGATAGATATGCTCCTATTTTCTCAGATTAATTTGTTTCTTATTCACCTGAGTTTGGGAGATCCATTCGCTCTTTTTGACATTTCGGTGTTGCGTCATGCTAAGTGGGTAACCAATATTATTACTGATGAACAGATTTTTTTTTATTATTATTATTACTACTAGTATTTTTTTTATTGAAAAAAACTCAATGCTTGCTTAAAGAGTTTATCTGGGAAGAAAAATAAAAAATTATTGTGACTGAGATTTATGAACAGATTCCAAATCTGGGCTAATTCCCTGTGCTAGGATGTACCTTATTATTACAAGGGATACATTCTGCTTCAAAAATCATGACTTAGGCCCTTTCTCATACTTTACCCCTTTATTTTACTTTGGTTTATTTACTTCTGGCAAAGATTCTAAACTATTCCATTTAGAAGGCACTAATGTTAACATATGAATGGGTGGAACATAGCATCTGTCAAATGTATCAGCATCATAGATGCCCTAGCAAAATGGTTTAGCTCACTCTTCTCTAGTTCTTTAAAGGAAGTATAGCAAGTCGAGTTTGCTTGGTGCTGATCTTGTTTATCCATCTTATTGAAACAAGATTGTGTAAATAATGAGTAATCCATATAGACAATTGATATGAAACAAAATTGTATATGGGATTGTGGATTAACTGATTAATTATCTGGAAGATTTATCTGGAAAGATAACCAGTTGTTCTATAAAGCTCATGCAGTTAAACTTTTGGAATCTACCACTTCTGACTGAAATTTTTATGAAGAACACCTGACTTACTATCTAGCCCGATAAATATCACCTGCTTTTGTAACATGTCAAGCTGCAGACTAACTAAGCATATGCTTGTATATTAGAAAAATCTGAAGTCTCTGTTCTAAGCAACCAGTTTCCGTTTCCTTCCAGTATAATTATCACTAGCATCAGTTTGTTGTGCATTATGTTGCATGATTGATTCATTTGAGTTTTCTGCCAATTGATTTTTTCCGCTGCTAATTTGATTTTATTTTTGATCAATGATACTTTTTCTTACTACAAATTTAGCATATTTTTTGGAGTCTTTATTGAATATCCTTGTTGCAGTTTATAAAGAGCTAAATGCTGCTCATGGCATTATATCTGTAGTGGAATAGCCCTATGTGTCAGAAACAGAATTTTATTTGAGAGTGAGTACAAGGCAACAAATTTGCTCACCTTTGAAGACAAGATTAAGGTACCCGATGGTGGCTTTGGATGCAATAGCTTGGTTTGGTAGTTTTATGACTTTTCCCTGTTGGAACTTGCCTTCTTTTTGTAATAAATATTGTTTCCTGCAGTTTTGAACGCAGAGGACATATATGTGGATAAGTTAAAATGAAGTACAGTGTCAGTGGTCAGCACAATCTTACTCTCTAAAAGAAAAAAACAAGAGTAACTTCTATGCATGTTGTTATGAATGCCTGCTGATCAAGTTATCTATGCGGTGTCATAATAGGCTCATGGGCCGGTCATTCTCATAGCCATTGATCATATTTCCGTTGCTGTGGAACATTGTTGTTTTGGAGTAGAATAGTTGGTAAAGCATTTGACTGATTGTAGCTTTTGGGTTGAAATTTGTTATGACATTCTTTAGGGAATACAGGAGTGGCTTCACTTTTCTGTGGACTCACATCAAAATAAAAAGGCTTCACCACACAAAGCATCTCTCCTTCTCATTGAAGGTCTGTCCTCTAATCATCTTTATTTTGTTACCTTTACTAAAAGATGCCTGTGAAATGATCTTTTATGCAATTGATGCGTTTCACTTTGTTTAATATGATGTCATGAAAGTCCCTCATTTGTTGATTATATGGAATACTGCATCTGCTAATCATGATATTTTCTTTTTCTTTTTTCTGCTGCTTTGTAACTGAACCTTTTTCGATTTTGAATATAGTTGAAAGAGTCATTAGGATCAAATTTGTCTGCTTTGGGATATCTGACTAAGCAAAAATGTACCACTGGGTTCTTTCCTTCTTATTCATTGTGGTCTAATCTGACAGTGTCAATATAGAGTGTAATGGAAGATTTTGGTTGTACAATTTAGGTTTTTGACTGATCGTTTAAGCCCATAGTTAGCAGGCAGAGCAGTAAAGTTCTTTATGTATTGGATTTACTTTACTGCCATGCTAAATTTTCTTTACCTTCTGATGTGAGTTTTATCTGACCCTTAAAGAATCAAATAAGGAGTAAGAAATACTCTAAGAATAGAGAAGCTAGGAAAAGATAATTCCAGAAGTTCAAATATGCTGATATTTACACATGTGGCTGACAGTTATTTCTAAAATTCAACATTGTGAGAATAAAGTGGCCAAGGTGCTTTTGAGTGCAAGGATGCTTCTTTTGAAAAGGAATGGTAAGTTTTGTCACTTAGTTGCGCCTGTTAATTCGATTGATTTAGTGTTGGGAGCTGAATAATCTACCATGACTCCATGAGACTATGAGAGTGACCAAAAGTTCTCAGACCCTGAATGTCGTTCACTTGCCATAGTGGTCAGTTTAATAATATTAGATATTCCAAACTGACACGTAATAAACAAAGAAGCAGAAGGTGATATGAAAACTAGTTAAATTAAAAAAAAAAAAATGAAAGGAGAGAATTAGGGGGGAAATTTTGTGATAGTCGATTACTGCTCATGACTCAAAGATAGAATCACACGGGTCAAGTGGGAATTCTAGCATGAGAAATCAGCAAATCTTACTGTTGTAAGTGGAAATGTGTGGGTGAAGGTTTATTCTTAACATTTTTATTTTTATATTTATTTTTCTTTTTGCCTTTTACTTTTTATTAATGTTTGGAGAAGATAAAGTTACTAATTTGAAAGGTTCTGCTGATAAGTTCAGGGCCACTGGAACCAGAAGAATCTGTTGCAATTCATCTCAACTGATTCGTTATTGTAAGATGACCCATAAAAAGCAACAAATCAAATCATAAGTCAAATTCTTGTGTATAAGGCATAAAATGTGCGTGTACAGAAGAGTGCATAATTGATCCAACCCCCTTCAGTCTATAACAAGAATTATTGCTTCAAACAAAGCCAATAATGCTTGGTATTAGTGGAATCTCTAGCTAGTCAAGTTGGCAAATTGTTGTGAAAAATGAAATCTTCCTGAGGAAGGTAATGCTTTAGTTAACATTTGAGGTCCCTATTGAACTTCGCTGTTCTAAACTTAGTTTATTTGACAAAAAACTCGTATTGAGAGGAGATAACCAGGTTAAAGACTTAGGCCTTGCTAAGTAAATGGCTTTTCGACCATCCCCTTTGATTGGCTTTTCGCTAAGTGAACCAGCCAGCAGTCGGTTGACTGCAAACGGTCCATATTCTTGAGGCTTAAGAATTTGGCAAAATTAGAGATTTAGAGTGCCTATGAAGTTTTAGAAAACAATGATAGTAACTGATTAAGAAAAAGGCAGAGTAACCTTTTTCCATATAATGAAAATCTGTTATTAGCTTTTGCTTCCTTGAACTATGTCAGAATCTAAGCCTCAGATTTAAAGAACTGGACCACACTTAAAGAAAGATTAATTAAGTGGGTACTATACATTATACTATCACTAATCATGATGTGATTCCATAATCTAAGAAAAAAAGACAGCAGTCGCGTGCTAATACAATAGTCTTAGAGGAAGTATAGTACATGACATTGGTCTAAAGAATTAGGTGAAAAATATAAAACATTATATGCAATGTTTATCTAAGTGAATCTTAAATGTCTTTCGCATATGCTTTTCGAAGGTTAATTATAGTTAAAATCTATGCCTTTACCATTGAAAGTAACCCACTAATCCCTTCTCTCTTCTTTCAGAAAGGGATCTCCTGGGAAAAGATCTTGGTTGAAAGATTTGGAAAAGATTTAGGAAGGGTGGGGGCTGGGAAGGAAATGAAGCATATTGTGCTTTATATAGTGGAATGTGGACTCGGCTATGAACTTAATTCTAGGTCAAATTACCCAGTCAAGTAGTCCATTTTGGGGTGATGAATAGCTTGGCTCAAAAATAGTAAATGATTCTAAAGGGCTGAGAAAGGAAAGCATGAACTAGAATGAAGACAATGTGTTATGGAATAGTACCAAAAAAGTGCTCTCTGACTCGGCCAATTTTGAGAAAGCCTATCTAATGAACTTTAAGGTTAGCCAACTTTGGAATTAAGCTTGTAATTGCAGATAGTAAACACTAGCATATTCAAGGTTTATACGACGACATACCCTAAGCTAATTGATCATTTAGTCATGGGAAGTTGTTTTGAGTTTTACTTGAACATTTGAGGATTGAGAAATTTTTGGGATTGTTTTAGGTCCTGTTCTTAGGTATGATATATGGATTATGAATTTGTGCGTGTCGTTTGAAGGTTACATCTTACTGAAGAGGGTAAGAAGCTTGAAGATGCTTTCATTGTCCTATTGACAATCTAAGAAAAAACTTTTCTGGTTTGTAGTTTCTTCAGCATTTTAGACAGCAAATGAAAATTACACACACAGTTCATGTCAGAAACCAAAAAATAATTGACCTGTCGTCAAATGTTGCTTCAATTATTATGATACATGAATTATATGTTTCCTATCAATAATATACAGTTCTCTAAGAACATACTCATGATTGGATATTCTTATCATATTCAAGGCCGTACTTTGCTCCTTTCTTCATCAAATCTTGTACTTGTTTACCTAAAAACAAAGCATATGCTGATCTCTGATGAGTATCTTCCTTAAGTTTCTTAATAGTTGCCACTATCTGTTGATGCTGTGCTTAGCTAGACTGGGATTTGGACAAAGAAATGTTCTACTTAACTAACTAGTTAGGTAACTAACAAAGTAACGAGAGACAAGTGTCCAAAGTACCCTTACTGAGTAAACCGCAGTGAGGGTACTATCGACTTTTTTCCTCCAAGGCCAGTAACCGGAGTGTCGGATAAATCGGGATTATTTTCTGCTAAGAGAAAAAAGAAAATGTTCTAACAATCAGAATATCATAATAAAGTTAATAATTAATTGAAACTATACAAGGGAAAATTCCATTTGGAATAAAAATCATTAGAATTAGCTCTACAAAATCCAACATTTTCCATATTCTAAGCCAAATTATAATCTTTTGCGTCTCTTTCACTTATAATTTGAATATCATGGACTAATAATATTCACATAGACAATACCATGCAGAGAGACAAAAACACAGCTATCTTCTAGAAAACATAAAAATTAAGAAACCCCAAAAACAAAGATGCAAACAGTACAAACTACTAAGATTAAGACAACATCCTTGTTAATAACACTAATTAAACTCCCATGTCATCCATGAGGATAGTGCTGTGTTGGTTGAATCTGGAAACCCATGCTTTGAGCTCCTACATAATTTTCTAGATAATCACCCCTCTGCAAATTCTGCCCTTGCACTTTTAACCCATATGAGCCAACACCATAGGGTGCCATGTACAAGTTACCCTGCATCGAATCGAAAGCAATGGCTGTTCCGTTGTTTGATTGATCCCACTGGAAATGTGTTTTAGGCATCGTGATCGAATTCGCCTGCTGTTGGGTTTGCACTGTTATTGTGGACTGCTCTGGTGAATTAGACCTCTTGCTGTTATTATCTGGTGAAAGAGCTTCATTTTCTAGATTAACAGTTGTTATATCATGAATACTAGCTCTTCTCTTGTCTTTCCCTCCTGATAACTGCCTTATGAAGTATTTTTGTGCATGGCTAGCTACTTGGGTTGGAGTCCTTGTTACCACAAAATTCCTTGAAATGTTTCTCCAATCTCCTTTCCCATATTTCTTCAACCCCATTAAGAACAACCTATTAAAAAATATCACATAATTTTAGAATTCATATCAAATTATTGTAGACCAACAAAAGATCAAAAAGTCAAAACAAACAATAACCCTTTATTATCAAGGATAGTGCAAAATTTCAAACTAACCAAATACCTTTCTCTTTTGAATATTTAATCAAAAAGCTCGGATATTTACACCGAGAAATTAAAGTTAAACCCCCTACTAATCAAAGAATTATTCAACATAAACCCAAATTACCTAGTACTTAACAAAAATTAGCACATTGAAGTCAATAGAAACTTACTTATGCTCTTCTTCAGTCCATGGAACCCCCTTCTTCCTCTCTTGATCCGGGGGCCGAGCGCCGGGCGGCCCCCGCTTGCCACCAGGGCTATAAGTATGCTTGTAAGCATCATAACCATTGTGATTAACCCATTCTAAGGTGAAAGCTGAGGCAGCATCAATATCATAACCAGGAATTGGGACTAAACCAGCTTCAATATTACTAACATCATCTTCTAATTCCTTGTATTGTTTGATCACATCACCAACTGTTTTACCAGGAAGCATAGCTGCCACTTTTTGCCAACGATCTGGAGTGTCTTTATCATAAACTGCAAGAGCATTCTCAAATATCTTGTTTTCTGCTTGTGTCCAACTTGTGCTCCTACTTTCATCAATCAACCAGCTTGCAGATGATAGGTATGATGATAAAACTTCCATCTCCCACTTCATCAAATTAGCACAAAAATTGGACTTACCCCACTTTTAATTTACTCTATTTTTTATGAAATTTTTGTTGGGGTGTTTTTTTGACAAAAAATTTATTTCTTGGGGGTTGTCAAAGAGACAGTTTTGACTTCATTTCTTGAGTAAAAATGAGGTGGAGAGACAGAGAAAGAAAGAGAAAAATGTAGAGGTTGAGATTTTACAATGCCAATTTTAGAGAATTAAAGAAAGAGAGAGCAGGAGCATTAGAAAGGAATCAGAATACTCCCACCTCTTTTCTTTTTTTCTGTTTTTTTTTTTTTTTTTTACTCTTGCATAATATGCCTACCCCCTCTTGAGGAATCTAGAAAAAGACCCACCTATGCCAATATCAGAGAAAATCTATCAAAAATATCCCAAACATGGGAAATTTTTATTTTTATATTTTTATTAAATCAAAATAAAAATCTTGGGTAGAAACAGAATTTGAGGGTGTTTGAACTAATTAGTCAACTAATCATCCCAGAAAAAAACTAATCATGAGAATGATTTTTTTTTTTTCTTTCTGAATTGCAAGACAGAAGCTTGAGCTAATAATAATAGTAGAAGGTGGAAATCTAACAAGTGATAGTTTCACTTCAAGCTGCTAAAACCCAGATCAGGAAAGTTCAGAAAAACAGAGGAGTTAATTTTGTGAAGAAAATAGAAGGTTTCAAAAAAAGGGGGTTTCAGAAGAGCTGAAAATGGAAAGACCCAAGTGAGGAAACAGAGTGATTGTGGAAGCAGAGGAATTTGTAGGAGTGAGAAAATTCAGAAAAATCAACACAAAAATTAGAAAAAAAGGAGGAGAAAGAGAAAGATCTGTTCTTTCTTCTTTTTTCTTTTTCCTTTTTTTCCCTTCTTTTTTTCTTTTTAATTTTTTCTTGAGGTTTGAGCAGCAAAGTAAAGAGAAGGCACAGAGGAGGGAAAGTAATAAAGGGCCAAAAACGTAAAAAAGCAAAGGTAGCGAGGTTCAAGGAATGAATCTAAATTTTAGCACATCTATGCACAAAGAAAGAGGAGGGAAAAAATGAAAAAAAAAAAAAGGGAAAATAAAATAGAAATAAAAGAAAGGGGAGATCTTTCAGAGACAAGGCAGAGCAGAGACAGAGCTGGAGAGAGAAAACTGAGCAAAGGGTATTGAAGGTGGTGGGTTGTGATTGGGTAATATGGTGTTTGTGGATACTGCAACTAAAATTGAAAAAGTTCATGCTTTTTTTTTATTAATTTCTTTAAATAAATGCTTAATTTTGTTTACCATGGTTTTATTATGTCCCCTCTATATGTATTTTTTCCTTTTTTTTAATACCGAGTAATATTATTCACACACTCTACCCTTGTAAAGAAATATTACCTCCGATTTTTATTATTTGCAACTTTGAAATATTTTGTATCTCACAAATAATACCACACAGTTGCAAATAATAAAAATCGGAGGTAGTTTAACCATTGTTATGAAATGAAAGTTGTTATGCTCTCTTCATCTTAATTTTTCTACTCTTTTATCGTAGCATCAAATATTCAAATACGGTGGAGAAAAGAGGAGGAAGAGGAACTACTCATGTGAAATCGTGAAATACTTTCAAATGGCTTTATGTATACTTGTAGTACTCCATAGTAAATATGTCTCAAAAGGTGGGGCAAAAGTTGATAAAGATAGTGAAAAATAGAGGGTAATGATATATGAATGATAAGCATTTAATAAAAATTCTAGATTGATAAATGATACGGGTATAAATTAGTAATGTATTACAAAATCACGCATTAGTTGATGTACTTGAAGTGATTTCATCTTATTGTTTTCATTTTATGCTGATAAGGTGTATAAATTTATAATTGATCTTTTGAAATCTAAATTAATTCTCCTTATTGCAACCTGTAAACTTTTGGAAACTTTTGTAAAATTATACTCTATTTATATCTTCAAAATATAAAGTTTTACAAATAAATACTTGAAATAAAATATCAAGAGTTCTAATCTATGGCATACATTTAGTATTTTTTTTTTTTTTCGTTGAACCATTGTATAAACTTTCATGAAATATCTATTTTCATGTCGACATTAATTTTTTGGGATAAGAAAATACTACTCAATGTTTAATTAGGCATTAAAATAAGGAGAAAAAAGCTTAAGTTGACACCTCATAATGGATGATGGCTACTCCACCTTCCTACCTTGGCTACCACCAGTCAATTACAGACTCGTTTTGCCAAGCTATCATTAGGGTGTCTAAGTGTCAACTCAATTTTCATTTACCTTAATTTAATCAAATTTTTTAAATTTGTAGAAAAGACTTGCTTCTTTTCATAACTCCCAACTTTTTGTACTGTCACCAACTTAATTAGCTTTAAACTAATACATGTTCTTTTCAATATGGAAATAGGAAATTAGACAATTAGTAGTTTCATTATTTTTGTCATGTTCAACAAATCTAAATTCAATTTGACTTAAAAGAAACTACTGGATTAATGACAAAAAAGAAATTAGTAGCAATGTAACTTTGTTAACCCCATAGATCCCAATAACAATTATTAAGACATAAATTTAAGTTACTCTTGCATTGCATGTTTTATTTTTCCTACTGCATTCAAAATATACTGACATGCACGGATTATATTTATTATTATGCTTTTTTTTTCCAAAATAATATATCTTGTGTATTAGCATTGGTGTGTTCTAACAACTAAATAGTAAACACGTGTTTACAGTTTCTAAAGAATTGAGGTAATGTGTACTTGCATAGATGTCCATATAATACCATTATAGCAAAGGGACATATCACATCTTAATAATAGAATAATATCCTATAAATAATATGGAGAAATAAATTAAATTTCCTTTTTTTGTAAATTAGCACGATTATTACATTTCTTCATATGCTACTAATTGTAAATTTTCTTAGTTGTTTCGAATACACATTCAAAATTAGGCATATCCAAAGTTATTATTTGTAAATGGCCCTACATACAAGATGGAAAATTATTTTTCTAAAGGAGTAATAAACGTATAGTTGAAATTTAATAGTGCTAATTATCTATATTGCATTTTAATAACAAGGTTTAATAAGAGATTTAAGAAGATATCTGAATGTTGACCTTACCCAAATCTCGTCAAGAAGTCAACATACTATTGCTTCTAATATTAAATGGAATGAAGTACAGCTCACATAATTTGGGGATTCAAGCTTTATTATCAATTATTTCTGTATGTACTATACACAAGTACACAACCATTAATACTGGAGGTTTTTTTTTTTTTAAATTATTTTTAAGACAGACTGACTAAAAGATAATTTATGTTGAAAAATTACCATTCGATACTTTACTTCGAAACACATAATATATTTGTACGGATGATCATTTATTTAATTTCTGATGTTTATGATTAGAATATATTTCTAGCTGCTATTCTCAACTTTATTGTGTAGTACGGAACACTTGTAATTAGTTTTTTTGAAAAAATAATTTCAATGAATCTACTACTTAGCAAAAAAGAAAAAAAAGTTAAACCAATAACCAACGTTTTAGTAAAAAATTGAAATTAAATAAGTCAAACTAATACGAAGTATATACGTAACATAGTATTAAGATGGAATATGGCCATGATGTGTGATACTTAAAATTGAACAATAACATTTTCTAGCAACAATCAGTATACCCTATCTATTTCTCGTCGATTAAAAATGTTTATTAGTCATTTTCAAAGAAATTCTAGTATTGACTTATGATAGTATGTTATCAATTGATTTTCTAATTAATCTCCATAACTATTTGGAAAATGTCAAGAAAATTATAAAAATTATATTTCTTTTCCTGTTTATATGTAAATTTAAGATAGATAACACATTTGAAGATAATGAGTTTATTATATAATTAGTTTTTGGCAAACTATTGTGTATTGGTACTTCACATTGAATAGTTGTTTTTGTTGCACTTTCTATGGTTAACATATTTTATCTATCTATTTCAAGAGGAAATGTTTCCCCAATAGTCAACCAAAAAGGTAGAGGTAAAGCAAAATACGTAGTAGTTTGGAATATGTATACCAGTAGTTTGTATTTTTGTTAATTGTGTCCTTTTCTCCTTAAAAATATAGTCCGATAATAATAATATTTAGTTGAAATCAATTGTAAGCAGTAACAAATAGGTTTTCATAAATAAACATATTTTTTTTTAAAAAAAAAAGTTTCAATAAGTGAGTAGACCACTTTTAATTAGTAACCATAAAGAATGATTATCGTGATGAATTCCATAGTAAAATAATGGCTTGATTACGACGTATTGGATATCAACTCAAATAGTAAAATTAAGTTTTAGTTGGTAAATATATTACGTTTTCTCAAAAAAAAAAAAAAAAAAAAAAAAAAAAAAAAAAAAAAAGAAAGAAAGAAAAAGGTTTTAGTTGGTAAATATGGTTTTGATCGAGTTTAAATACTATAAATTAGGAGAAAAGAATGTCAGGCTTATAAAACTCTATCTAATGGATAAATAGAAGAAAAAAATAATAATGGATAAATAAAAATAATAATTTTATAAACATCCATTTTGTCAAATGTAAAGTTTAGTTTACTAGTAAGAAATTGATAAACAAATTAACATGATTTAAGAAATGTGAGTTTTAATCACTTGAATTTCACAAATCTGAATCTACTAAGTTTTATTTTGAACTTTATTTTTCTAAGCTTTAAAGAGATAAATGAACTATTTTTCTCATTTTTTGAACTTTTACTCGCTTTTTATTTCAGTATAAATAACATACGAGTATCTTTGTTTATGTAGTACAAAGTACATAGTTTCTTCTCTCGCTTTTAGAAAACATTTTACTTTGCATATATGTATTGAAATCAAAGCAATAACGTGACAACTATTTTCGAACAAATGATGTGACATGATATGTTGTGATGTTGATGTATGAGTACTTTATCAAAGGGAGTACTAGCAATTTGAGAGAGAAGTTATTAAAACAGAGAATTTGGTGTAAAAGAACAGTAAAAATTTTGGACAACCAACAATTTTAGGATAGTTGGTGAGGGACCCACACGTTCTGAAATTATAAGTAGAGTAGTCGTATAATTAAACACTTAGCACTACTCTAATTTGCTAGGGTACCCTTTCGAGTACGATGAGGACACTTGGTGATGGGTTATTGGGTCAGGTTGTGGCAATTTTTATTTTTATTTATATTTTTATATTTTAGATTTTATTTTTGTGAAAAAAAGTGGCTGAATTATTAATAATTCGTCCAAAGCAGATGGAGCCAATCATTCAAGTTGGCCAAGTAGTCGTTGCCACATCATGCTGCCTTGATCATCAACGACAACCTTACTCTTAATTTTGATTAACATATTTGTTCTTTTTACTAAAAGATTAACAACCAAAGTTCACATTAATCCACGTTAGGGTGAGAGCATACAAAGGTGAGTAGGTGTAAGAAAAATGAAAACAACAAAGTATAAGGAAATGGTGAGAATAAGTAAATATTGTGAACTAAACTTACTGTAACTGAACTGAAAAATAATTTGAATAGAACAAGCCCTAAGTCCAAGGTTTCATTTGTATTAGCTTAGCTTTCTATCACACCCAATAAAAGGAAATGTGATTGTGTGGTTGTATTGCCGAGTAATAAACATTTATGTTAAAGTAGAGAAAAATGTAGAGAAAGAAAATTAAAACCTGAATCTTCTTAATTGCGGATAAGAAACAAATTAATTTGATGAACACACCAAGATCGGAAAAAAAATCTCTAGAATTTTAGAGAGGTTGTACGTAATACGGAGTACCATGTTAAAGTAGAGAAAGTTATGGAGAAAACGATTTCACCTTTGTATTGATATTCCTCACATATATGTACAATACAATATATACCCAATTTGCCTAAAACTCCTACCAAAATAAACTTGACAAATATACAATATTAACGAACATATATAAACCAAACTGACTGTAATAATTCACATGATAAGAAAAAAAAATGCTAACATTACATTTTCAGTTTTTGGATAATAAATCTGATTACATTTGAAATCTGTCGTAACTATTATGTCATCAACACGCGATGAGAATTGATAAAAGCTATTTAATTATTTTGTACTCCGTATTAATTTGAACAATTCATACGGATATAGACATATACAGTGAAAGTGGATATATTTATTAAAATTGACTATGCAACAACCCTCCACAAAATTTTCCTCCAAGATGTGACTAATGACTAGGTTTTCCCTGGTATAGTTATATATATTTAGGAGCAAAGTATGCATGCAAATTATATTAGCCATAAACTAGATGATTAATTGACTAAATTCTCAATCATTTCACCTGATAAACTTAATATCTAAACATATTCTAAATAACCTGCATTCATTGGACATTGGTTGATAATCTTGGTA